GTTCCAGCCCTCAGCTGCGCACATTCAACACACACATACACACACGCGCACACACACTCACACACACCCACTAGAACACCTACAGCGAAATTGCATGCCGGCCTCCACCGTTGAACAATGTCACGTTGTGTTGGCCAAACACGGACACAACAGTCTACATATCGCCCAAAGTAAGCAAGGCACATCACTGTCGTTGGCAGACTCGTTCCCAAAGATGAGCATGTCTTCCTCCAGCAGTGCTGAGTTAGACTTTCGACCTGGTTTCCTAAGAACTCATGGTCGGACGGGGGAGTTCCGGATGAAGCTGCACCAAGAGCCCCAATGATAGCACCACGCTTCAAGAAATGCTCATCAGCATTCACGATTTGGCGGCTCATGGCTCATGCGTCCCACGCCCCATGGGAAGCATGGGCAACCATGTCACCAAACCTCGTCAAAGCCAAGGCGCCGGTAGAATCCAGGAGTCATTACCTTCACTGAAGACGTTTTGGGAATGAGCAGGGATCCAGGCCTTTTCCCTTGAAGGCACTGATATCTTTCAACCGCAGGAGCGCGAATGAGAGGCGGAAGTAACATACCAGAAAAAGACCCATCCAGACTCGCGGCTTGGGCTTGGGCGGCCTAAACTGGTCCAAGCCACTGCTGTTCGACACCTCCGACACGTTCTCTTCGGTCCTGGACTGCCGGATGCATTCACGAACCTTCGGAAGCCATCCCTTCAACAGCTGGTTCGCAAACTGACTGAGTCGAGATTCGCATCTGACAGGTTGCCATCCAGCTCCGTGGACTCATTGTCATCTTCCAGAAGATCTTCCGAGACATTGATGGCCTCCGTCACGATGGAGATGTTGATGGGAACTTCGGTCTCGTTCCAGCCCTGAGCCGCGCACACTCAACACACCGCTTCCCACCAAACCTACGGCGAAATGGTCAGAGGCAGACACCCTCACCCCAAAAGACCACACCACACATCGCCCAAAGACAACAAGGTGCATCACTGGCATCACTGTCGTTGGCAGACTCGTTCCCGATGAGGAGCACGTCTTCCTCCAGTAGTGCTGACTTTCGATCTGGTTTCTTACTCACGAATTTAGGGCTGATGGCATCCCGAGTGACAA